AAATTGTCATTTCAGGGAAAAGTTGCTTATAAACTTGAAGAACAAAGACTTTAATACTTTAAAAGGCATCTCGATTACATAAAAAGGAATACTTTCAAATTCATTTTGAAGAACTAGCATACCACTTAAAGCAGGTAACACAAAATGGAAAAGTATGAAGCTTTGTTTCATCACTTTAGAGGTAAAATTTCTATACAAAAAGGAGTCAAATTCAATAATGAGGTGAAGAAACAGAATGCCATATTCATATAGTGTTAATATAGTGTTAATACAACAAATATAAAGTTTAAGAATGGTAGAACTTGGGAAATTTGTTATTTTCTGTAGATATTTTAATGGTCTCGGAGAAAACAGATGTGGACATCTGGATTTTACAGTGAACAAGACATTAAACAAAACACAAGACAAAACTTCCATTTCTACTAGGAATACTGAGATTAAAATTTTCTTCTTTCATATGGTGTCACTCAAATACATGAAAATATATATAATATATTGTATGTAAACCAATTCTCAAAATTTCTAGAAATTTAATCAGTCTGTTTTCCAAAGTCTGACAATATGGAACCACTTAATTGTAAAGGGAGATTACTTAAGGGGCCAGCGCTGTGGCGTAGCAGGTAGGGCTGCTGCCTGCAGTGCTGCCATCCCATATGGGTGCCGGTTCATGTCCCGGCTGCTCCACTTCCGATCCAGCTCTCTGCTGTGGCCTGGAATAGCAGTAGAAGATGGCCCAAGTCCTTGGGCCCCTTCACCCATGTGGGAAACCCAGAGGAAGCTCCTGGCTCCTGGCTTCGGATCGGCACAGCTCCGGCTGTTTTAGCCAATTGGGGAATGAACCAGGGAATGTAAGACCTCTCTCTCTCTCTCTCTCTCTCTCTCTCTCTCTCTCTCTCTCTGCCTTTCCTTCTCTCTCTGTGTAACTTTGACTTTCAAATAAATAAGTATTAAAAACAAAAAAAGCAGTGGCAGTAGTAGAAGTGCTTGGACCCCTGTACTCATGTGGGAAACCAGGAAAGAACTCCTGGTTCCTGGCTTTGTTCTGGCACAGTCCCGGCCGTTGCGGTCATTTGGGGAATGAACCAGCGGATGGAAGATCTCTCTCTCTCCCCCACTCTTTCCCTGTAACTCTGCCTTTGAAAAAGATAAATAAATCTTTTTTAAAAATGATTTTGAAAAATGAATGCTCTAGAACAATCAGATTTCAAAATTGTCATAGAATAATGAGATTAGGTCTGTTCTTAGAGACATTAAGCCATATGGAGATTTTGTGGTTTTGTGTGCTTTCAACATGCTGATTCTACACATAGTGTCATCTCAAAATGGCACCTCAAGGCTAAATCTGCTCTTTAAGAGTGGTCTAAAGAATACTGTGACTCCATGCAGAGAAGTGCTGCATGCAGTGTTCTATCCGCTGTAGCTGCATCAACAGCTTCGTACAGTAGGATTGTGGCGGTGAGTGGAATAACTTACTCCCATGCCTTATTTTATTAAAAAAAAGTTCAAGGCAAAAATTTATGTCTCAAAACCTTACCACTGGGCCTGGCGCCGTGGCTCACTTGGGTAATCCTCCACCTGCAGGGCCACCATCCCATCTGGGCACCGGGTTCTAGTCCCGGTTGCTCCTCTTCCAATCCATCTCTCTGTGGTGGCCCGGAAAGGCAGTGGAGGATGGCCCAGGTAAGTGCTTGGGCCCTGCACCCGCATGGGAGACCAGGAGGAAGTGCCTGGCTCCTGGCTTTGGATCAGCGCAGCGCTGGCTGTGGCAGCCATTTGTGGGGGAGAACCAACGCAAAAAAGACCTTTCTGTCTCTCTCTATCTGTAACTCTACCTGTCAAATAAATAAATAAAAAATCTTAAAAAAAAGAAAGAAAATCTTACCATTGTTAAAGCGATGATGAAAATCATTGTATATAGAAAAAAATGATCTTCAACTTTGATCTTACACCACCTGGGTTAAGAATGATGTATTATTATCATTTTTTGTTTTTGTTTTTTGACAGGCAGAGTGGACAGTGAGAGAGAGAGAAAGGTCTTCCTTTGCCATTGGTTCACCCTCCAATGGCAGGCGCGGCCAGCGCGCTGCAGCCAGCACACCGCGCTGATCTGATGGCAGGAGCCAGGTACTTATCCTGGTCTCCCATGGGGTGCAGGGCCCAAGCACTTGGGCCATCCTCCACTGCACTCCCTGGCCACAGCAGAGAGCTGGCCTGCAAGAGGGGCAACCGGGACAGAATCCGGTGCCCCAACCGGGACTAGAACCTGGTGTGCTGGCGCCGCAAGGCGGAAGATTAGCCTAGTGAGCCGCGGTGCCGGCCTATTATTTATTTATTTATTTTTAAATGAAGAACTAAATCTGAGAACAAACTGCTGTCTACTGAACCATTGAAGTTACAGTACAGCTGGGGTTGGTGCCTTTCTGTCATCCATATGCCTCGTTACTTGTCTGTCTTCTTGCATTGCAGACATGGACCTAATTGGTTTACTCTGCCTTTCTACTCCTCTCCTAGAACATTTTCAGGCACAGCGTGTACTTACTGAAGGTGTGCAGCGGCAGAGGAAGGAGAATACACTACTTGGGTGTGTCAGCTCTGCAGCATAGTGGTGTGAGGCTGCCATGGAAGCTGAGAGGCCAGTGCAAGGACAAGAAGGAGCTGTATTGCAGTTCTGGTCTGCGAAAGGGGCCATTTCCATGCTCTTGAACTTCCATCTCTTAGATTGAGAACAGGCAGCCAGCACCTTCAGGTAAAAACACAAATTTGTCAAGAGGCTGCTCACCACTGGAGAGCATCAGTTTGAAGGCAATGCCTAGAACCAGTGTTGGAGCTCTCCTAACAAAATGCTAATCCCAGTATGCATTCCTGCATAGTGGCCACAAAAAATGCAGCAGGGGAAGACAATTTGCCAGGGGTCACATCTCAGTGGCCCAGCATCCATGGCTTTGTGATTGCTGCTGACAGAGCTTATCTCGATGTCTTTTGTGAGAACATCTGAGTTCTGCGGTAGCTGGGGAGCTTTACAGAAGAGAGAGCCAGCACTTATCAACCAGGCTGAAGGAGTGAGGTGTAGAAATTTTTAGTTTTTACTGCTTTTATGAATCCATTGTCTCTCCCCATTTGTCTAGCCTGGGAAAGCACCTGTTAAGGTTCCAGAGAGTTGGCCAATTTTTCCTGCTTTATAAGTGGAAATACAACTCCCTTTAGGCTCCCGAGTCTGCATTTGGAGGGAAATCTCCTGCTTGTTGCCCACGTCTCAGTTTCCATTTCAAAATGCCTCAGCAAGCTTTTCTCCAAACAAGCTGTGCATAAATGAATGTCTAGGAGCATTCAGTACATATTAGAGTCCAGGGCATTGTGATATACATCTAAGAGGTACGCAGAGGAAATTCTCCAGAGTGAAGGCAAGAGCAAGCCAAGGCAGGCGCTGAAGATGAAGACCTGCAAGTACGTGATTATCACACCCTGGCTAGCCCTGCTGCGCCCCATTGAAAAACTGAACATGCATCTAAATCGGTAGAAAGACTTTCTCAGTAGGAAGAGATTTCAGACTGGAGGGGGCAGGTTCAGACTGGGTTTGTTTGACTTCTTGCACATCAGCAGAAAATAGCTGCAGTTTTGCTTGCTCTTATTCTACTCTCTGGTTAAAAAATTGAGACGGGGTGTGGAGGATGCCGTGGAGAAAGAAAGTAGGAGAACTGGGAAGTGCGAGGCTTGTAATAGCTTCTGTTAAAATATTTGTAAAGTACTCCGATGTAAAGAAATCGAGGGACTGGTGCTGTGGCGCAGCGGGTAAAGCCGCTGCCTGTAGTGCTAGCGTCCCATGTGGACACCGGTTCGAGTCCTGGCTGCTCTACTTCCTAGCCAGCTCTCTGATGTGGCCTGGGAAAGCAGTAGAAGATGGCCCAAGTCCTTGGGCCTTGCACCCATGTGGGAGACCCGGAAGAAGCTCCTGGCTCCTGGCTTCAGATCGGCGCAGCTCTGGCCATTGTGGTCATTTGGGGAATGAACCAGTGGGTGGAAGACCTCTCTCTCTCTCTTTCTCTCTCTCTGCCTCTGCCTCTCTGTAACTCTGCCTTTCAAATAAATAAATAAATCTTTAAAAATAAAGAAATTGATTAACAGGATAGTAGGGAAAATGAAGACTTCTTAGAAAATAATTAATTTTATTATGTGTGATGTAACACTTTCTAAGTAAATTTCATCCTTGCAAATAAGTTGGAAAAATTACCACCACTGTTGCCAGTATCTGACATTTCCTATATTTGGAGAAACTTATCCTATGATGTTATGGCTCAGATATGTTTGCTCCCCTAAGGGTTCATGTGCAGGTGATATTGGAGATGACACCCTAAAATCTATATGAAAATGTGGCCCCTTAAAGTTCCCCAGAAGTGCCATCTGGGGTGCCACATGTGCTACCAGAATTTGGGGTGCCATACAATATCACCATATGCTTATTAATAGATACCCAATATTAATAAGCCCGAGAGGGTTCTTGCCTAATATTTACAGAAGAATTCTAAATACTGGCACAGATAAACAAGGCAGCATGGTACATTTTAAGCCTTTATTTAGTGAGAAAGAATCATAGGAGAGTGAGAGCTTTATCTAAGAGAGAGAGGTAAATCTGGATTCATACCGAGCACCAGGAACCAGCCACGTGGAGGAGCATCTAGGCCAGGAAGCCTAGGGCACGTGGCCTGAAGGCCATGCGTCCTGGGGGCACAGGGCTACAGCCAGTCCCCTCCTGGCTAGAGGCCAGTGGAGAAGAGAAGGGGCGGACACACTGTGTCCCAGGCTTTTAACCCACTTCCACATGGGAGTGGTTAATTAACCTGATTGGCAGGTGGGCACCCAGGTATGACCAGGTAGGTGCATGAGATCACACAGGGGCGTGACAAAGCTATCAGGTAGGGCGTAAAGTCACACAGGGGCGTGGTAAAGGCGTGGTCTTCCAGCTCACAAACCTAAACAATTTTAGCCTATATGCCTGCCTACTTCACAGGGAGTATGGTCCCCAGAGTGTTGGTGCTGACCTAGGATCTTAGAGATGGGTCCTATTAGAAGGCCATTAGCTCATGGGAGCTCCTCCATCATGAAGGGATTGAGGTTGTCTTGTGGGGCTGGGTTAGGTCTGATGTGACTGGGTTAGTTCTCATGAGAGCTGGTTGTTCAAGGTGGGGTCATAGACCTGGCCTTTCTGTACAGGTCCAGTTCCCTTTCCACTGCTCTGCCCCGTTGTGACACAGCAGGGGCCAGGCTCACCAGGCTCACCGGCACACAGGTGCTGCAATATTTGGATCCTTCAGCCACCAGAAATCATGAGCCAATTAAACCGCCCTCCATTCTAAATTACTCAGCCTTGAGGAATTGGTTACAGTAATATAAAACAGACTAAGACACAGAGTAATGCTCTCTGGATTTTCTTAATAGCAAAAGTGAGCCGGCGCTGTGGCTCACTAGGCTAATCCTCCGGCTTGTGGCGCCAGCACACCTGGTTCTAGTCCCGGTCAGGGCGCCGGATTCTGTCCCGGTTGCCCCTCTTGCAGGCCAGCTCTCTGCTGTGGCCAGGGAGTGCAGTGGAGGATGGCCCAAGTGCTTGGGCCCTGCACCCCATGGGAGACCAGAATAAGTACCTGGCTCCTGCCATTGGATCTGCGCGGTGCGCCAGGCTGCGGCGGCCATTGGAGGGTGAACCAACGGCAAAGGAAGACCTTTCTCTCTCTCTCTCTCTCACTGTCCATCTACCTGTTAAAAAAAAAATAGCAAAAGTGTAATTTATATAACTTCATACACATGCTTCTTTTTTCGCTAATCTTCTTTAATAAATAAGTAGCCGTGTTTCTTGAGATACAGTCTTTGTAGACAGTATTTTATGGGTAGCATATATTTAATCCATCTCTCTATTTTTGTAGATAAAGAATATGGAGCACCTTCAAAGAGCAGTAGCAGGTACATGATCCCGCAGGAGGCAAAGACTGAGAGGCTGGAGCACCAAGAAGAGGCTTCCACTCAGGTCTCACTCTGCAGGGAGCAGGTGGGAAGCGAAGGAGTGCAGGTGGGGTAGCGGGGCCAATTTTTCCCTGGCTCAGAGTGTGTCTAAACCAAGGGCGCTCAAGACGAAACAATGAGCATATGTTGCAAACCTTGTAGGTGCTCAGAGAACTGCAATGCATGGATACAGTGCCTTTTTTTAGTACTCAATAAAAGGAATCCTCCTTTCACAGGGCCAGATCAAAGGGGACTCCTTAAGGGAAGCCCCACTGAGCAGAATAATTTTCTCCTTCATTTGCATTCCTTTATCACTTTGTTCATAACTATCCAGTGACATTTACCACATTTATTTTAATTACCTGTTCAAATGTCATCCTCCCATGAGACTGTGGATATATTAAGCAGCACATCATTTTAAAAATTACCTTTTCTAGTCCTAATATTTAACTCTGGCATGTAGTAGATGATCAATATATATTTGGTGAATTGAATTGCAACAAATCATTCTAACAGGTAACTTCAATCATAGATATTTTCTATATATTTTGCAAAAATATGTATTCATTGAAATTCTTTTTAAAAGAGCCATTTAGTAAATATTTATTCCATGCTGACTTCTTGCTAAGCACTGGGATAAGACTAAGAGTAGAAAGATGAGGCAATCTACTGTAACACTATAGTCCTTGTTTTCAACGGATTCTTCATTTTAATGATGAATATAGAAAAAAATCAATAAGAACTGTATGATAAAACTAGAATAGAAAAATACACAGACAAAGGAATGTTACTTCACCCACAGGGAACTCTCTCAGTAAGCTTCAAAGAAAATGATAAAATGTGAAATGAGCCTTGGCAGATGGACAGAAATTCAGGACAGAGGGGAAAGAAAATTGTACTTCAAAGGGGCAGATGTGGGAGAGGGTGAGGAGGGGTTAGATCAAGGGCAGTGTGCCTGGGACCTAAGTTAGCCTGGGAGGGGAGAGTTAACGGTTAAGCAAGTGGAGTCTTGGTGCAAATGCACAACAGAATGGAGATCAGCTTCCAGATTTTTGGTAGGAGTGTCAAGTTCTATTTTTTTAAGAATTTTTTTTATTTTAAAAATCTATGTAAGAGGCAAAGAAATGGAAACAGAGATAGGCAGAGAGAAAATGGGAGGGAATGGAGTGGGGAAAGAGGAGAAAGAGTAAGAGGGATGGAGAGAGAAAGAGAGAGAGAGAGAGGGAGAGAGAGGGAGAGAGAGAGAACCTTCTACTAGTTCACTAGAAAAATAACCACAGTGGCTGGGCTGGAGTCAGAAGCCAGAAACTCAGTCCAGGTTTCCAATGTGTGGGTCGTATGCGCCCCACTACTTGAGCCATCATCACTGCCTCCTAGGTTATTTATTGGAGGGAAGCCTCGTACAGGATCCAGAGTTGGGAATCGAACCCATGCCCTGTGATGTGGGATAGGAGTATGTTAACAGCCCTCTCCTGGAGTGTTCATTTTTCATCACCAAACATTAGTGATTTATCTTCCTTCACAGAATTTTTCCATACCTCGACCTAGCCCCATTATACTATATGACATTATCACTGAGTGTATTTGAAAAAGTTCATGGAAAATGGAATTAAAGCATATTTTGGTGCAAAAAATTTTGTGAAACGCATTCATAGTTTTTTCGCTATACTCATTTTCCATGGATGGTTTGAAGACTCCTCATAGACAGTTATTTCAAAACTTTTTTTTCACCCAGATAAATCCACCTTTTAATTTCATTTTCCACTAAACTTTTGAAGTGTCCTTATTCTTAGTCCTGATGGAAACCAATTAGAATCACTGATATCTCACTTCTTGTTGGCTGCTTAACCAAATACCTGGACAACATTTGCTTCTCTGCGCCTCCACTGTCACTTAGCATTCTGACTCCCTTGTGTCTAGCTCAGATTACTTCTGTCATTCTAATATCTTTTCTCAATTCTCATTCTTATTCTCCTTGAATGAAATTCCTATACAGTACTCATAGCCATCTTCTGCAAATGTTAGTGGGAAACTATTTTTCCACTAATTCAACTGTGGAATGGTTTCTCATTTCATGTAGAATAAGTCTCAAGCCCCTTGAATGAAGTCACTGCATGGAGTGGCTCCAGTTTTAGCACCACCTTCATCTCAAGTCCTTCTCTGCCATCTTCATCCTGTTGGAGTCACAGTGTTGGATTCCAGTGTTCTGCATGACATGCCTTTACCCTCTTCTTTCCGTAGTCCGCATAAAGTTGGCTCCTCTTTGTTCCTGAAATTTCATCTCAAATGTCACACTCTACATGATCTTTTAAAATGTCCCCCTTTTTATTTTTAAGCATATTTATCCTTTAACTTATTTTGAAACAAAATGTAGACATAGAACATTGCTGTGAAATGCCACGCACAGCTTAATTCATTACGAGGAGGTCAACTTCTGCTAAAAGAAGAACTTTCAACAACTTAAATTTAGCAGAGTGTGCTTCAGCAAGAATGACAGCACCCAGAACCATATGGGCACCGGTTCAAGTCCCAGCTGCTCCACTTCTCATCTAGCTCTCTGCTATGGCCTGGGAAAACAGTAGAAGATGGCCCGGGTCCTTGGGCCCCTACTTTGGTAGTATTTAGCTAAACTCAGGGAAAGTCCTTGATTGGTAACAGATAGTGATTTGCCTTATTTGAGCTTGATCTGATGAAAAATTTCTAGGTAAAGCTTAGCTAACAGTTTCTGAATGATTAAGCTTAATTTTCCTGTACTCTTTGAATTGGGTTTCAAGTGCTGGAGCTTCCTTTTAGCCTCATGGCCTCCCATTTAAATTGTTTTCCTTCCTTCTTTCTTTCTTTCTTTCTTTCTTTCTTTCTTTCTTTCTTTCTTTCTTTCTTTCTTTCTTTCTTTCTTTTTGACAGGCAGAGTGGACAGTGAGAGAGAGAGACAGAGAGAAAGGTCTTACTTTTCCGTTGGTTCACCCTCCAATGGCCGCCGTGGCTGGCGTGCCGCAGCTGGCACGCCACGCTGATCCGCAGCCAGGAGCCAGGTGCTTCTCCTGGTCTCCCATGCAGGTGCAGGGCCCAAGCACTTGGGCCATCCTCCACTGCACTCCCTGGCCACAGCAGAGAGCTGGCCTGGAAGAGGAGCAACTGGGACAGAATCTGGCGCCCCAACCGGGACTAAAACTCGGGGTGCTGGCGCTGCAGGTGGAGGATTAGCCTAGTGAGCTGTGGCCTAAATTGTTTTCTAACAAATTTTTATTACACTGATCAAACAGGTAAGGAAGTATTAAGAAGTATTGTCAACCACTGAAGCTTTGAAAAGCCTTCTTCCCTTCCCCAGAAGCCAATTGGCTCCTGACTTTCAGTAAATACTTCCTTGTATGACTTTTGTTTCAGACCTCAAGCTTTAGCCTTGGCTAGCCTTTCTATTTTGTTTTGATATATTTTTCCAAGTGCATTTTGATGTACAGGTTCAAATTCTATATTTTATGCTTTCATTTTTAATTCATAATTTATACAAAATGACAGATTTTAAGTGTGTATTTCACTAAGTCATTTCAAATGTATACATCCTTGCAACCATCAGACAATCAGCTCAAAAATTCCCTCTTTCCTCTCAATCCCACCTTCCTGGGGCAACCTTTGTTTTGATCTTTATCAGCATAGTTTTCCTTGTTCTTGAATATCATATAAAGGGAATACTGCAACATGAACTCTTCTGTTTCCAGGTTCTTTCACCCTGCCTAATGCTGTTCCCCAAATTCATGGTTTCTCTTTCCATAGTTTAAGTTACCTGAGTTCAAGTACAGTCTGAAAGTATCAAATGAAAAATTCCAGAAATAAACACAGAGACCACATTCACATAATTTTTATTATGGTATATTGTCATAATTTTTCTATTTTATTATTAGTTGTTATTGTCCATCTCTAACTGTACCTAATTTATAAATTAATTTTATCATAGGTACACACACACACACATGTATATACATATATATATATATATATGAAAAACATGTTATAGATATAGGTTTTGGTACCATCCATGGTGTTAAGTATCCACTGGGAGTCTTGGACCGTATCCCCATGCATGGGAGAATTTCTCTATTACTGATTTGTTTACTTGCACCATGTAATAGCATTCTACTGCATGATTATACTATATTATATTTAAATCCACCCCTTTGTTTATGACATATAAGTTGAATTGAGCTCCAGAAAAATGTCAATAAAATATGAGCCTTCTTAGCTCAGGTTTTTCTGTGACTATGTCTTCATTTTTTTGAGGAAAATGCTTGAGTGGAATTTCTGGAATGTGTAGTAAGCTTATGTCAAACTTCATAAGTTTTTTTTTATATTTCCTGTATTTATCTTTTAAACGGTCATTTATTATTTATATTTCTTTGAATAGGAGAGAGAAAGAAAGAGAGAGAAGGGGTATCTTCTACTTCACAAATTCCTGCAACATCCAGGAATGTCCAAAACCAGAAGCCAAGAAGGCCACGTGGGTCTCCCACAGAGATCACAGGGACTCAGCAGCTTGAGCCATCATCTCCTGCCTCCCTGGATGGGCATTAGCAAGAAGATGGCTGGGACGCGGGGTATCTGGGCTTTCACTGGGCTTTCTGATATGGTGTACAGGTATCCCAAGTGGCAGCTTCACCTGGCATGCCACAACAGTGGCCTCTATTTCCTGTATTTCTAATTGGGAGGAACCTCTTATTTGTAAACTTTCTATTCAAGACTATTCTCATTTTTATTAGATAGTGGATATTTTTGTCTATTTTTATGTTGTGGGGGTGTTTTGCACACATACAACCACAGCAGACCTTCCAAGCACACAAATGTGCATGAGTAGTATGGTGGGTATGTGTCAAATGTGTTAGGTCTGGAATAGCTCGGGGTTCTGGTCTTTTGTACCCTCAGAAAGGAAAGAAAGGAAAAGGAGACGGAGACCGACCTCAACAGAGACAGGTTGCTTTATTGGAAGCAAAGAGGTTGGCGACAGTCTGTTCTTGGGAAGAGACCAAGCTGGGCACATTTAGGATTTAGGTTTTATCTCCTAGGAGGTAATTTGCCACTGGGGGGTGGTGGAGAAGGCAGCTGGCAGAAGAGTAGGGGGCTCTTTGAAGTCTCAGGGAATTTCCCTCTTATGTGTTTCATGGCTGCCCTGTGCAGCTTATCTGTTTTGCCATTTGCATTGCAAGGAGTTGAGAAGGGTCTGGTTAGGCACCAAGGGTCTCCTCTCAACAAAACTGAGGATGCGGGGTGGGGAGGGGGGAGAAGGAAGAAAGGGAGAAAGGGAAAGGTGCAACATGTCCTTTAAAATGTATGTACTGTGAATATTCGCTCAAACTCTGTGGATTGATTTTTAATTTTGTTCGTGGTATCTTTTGGAGAGATTGTTTAACGTTAGCGATTCATTGGTTTTTCTTGATGTTTAGTGCTTTTTATCCATTCAAAATACATTGGGTCTGCAAGATCACAGGTATATTTACCTAATCTTTTATTTATCTTGAATGCTAATATCAAAGCAATCATTACATATGGGATGATTACAAGAAAATTAGTTCTGCTTTCAAATTTTAAAATTCTGCTTAAAATATTATTAGATAATTTTTTTAAATGAGATTTTTTTTTTCTAGTTGAAGATGAATTTGTGGAAGTGACAAGTCATTATAATATTGTCAGTTTTTTTTTTTGCCTCCTAAGAACCAATTGTCACCTGTTTTGGGAGTGATTTGGCTTCTGTGGAGAACCATGTTTTAGATCAATTTGGAAAGTATCTTAACAATATTCTATCTTTAATTCCATGACTTTTCTGTCTCTCCCCATTGATTTCTATTTTTTTATTTCTTCCAGAAATGTTTTCACATTGTTAAATTCATTACTAACAAAAGGTTTAATTTTCTTACACATTTTTTAAGAATTATTTTCCTGCTTGTCCATTTATTTATTTATTTATTTTTATTTGACAGGTAGCATTATAGACAGTGAGAGAGACAGAGAGAAAGATCTTCCTTCCATTGGTTCACTCCCCAAATGGCCGCTATGACTGGTGCTGTGCCGATCCGAAGCCAGGAGCCAGGTGCTTCCTCCTGGTCTCCCATGTGGGTACAGGGGCCCAAGCACCTGAGCCATCCTCCTCTGCCCTCCTGGGCCACAGCAGAGAGCTGGACTGGAAGAGGAGCAACCTGGACTAGAACCCGGCACCCATATGGGATGCTGGTGCCACGGGTGGAGGATTAACCAAGTAAGCCAGGGCGCCGGCCCCCTTACACATTTTTTAAAAAGGTGATATTTTATTATAGTTTCTAACTACCTATTATATGATAAGGGTATTTCAAAAAAAATTCAAGGAAAGTGGAATTAAAAGATATGTTTATTTTGGTACAAATATTTTGAAATCCATGCACGGTTTTTTCATAATACACATTTCCATGTGATATCAAAATTGACCCCCTAAAATATAATATCAAAATGTGGCCCCTGGCCTGCGCCACAACTCAATAGGCTAATCCTCCGCCTGCAGCGCCAGCACCCCAGGTTCTAGTACCAGTTGGCGTGCCGGATTCTGTCCCGGTTGCTCCTCTTCCAGGCCAGCTCTCTGCTTTGTCCCGGGAAAGCAGTGGAGGATGACCCAAGTGCTTGGGCCCTGCACCCGCATGGGAGACCAGGAGGAAGCACCTGGCTCCTGGGTTCGGATCGGCATGGTGCGCCGGCCACAGCGCGCTGGCTGCGGTGGCCATTGGAGGGTGAACCAACGGCAAAGGAAGACCTTTCTCTCTGTCTCTCTCTCTCACTGTCCACTCTGCCTGTCAAAAAACAAACAAACAAAAAAAATGTGGCCACTTAAAGTTCCCCAGAAGTGCCATCTTGGGTGCCACATATGTTATCGGGATTTGGGGTGCCATACGATGTCACCATATGCTTATTAATAAATCCCCAATATTAATAAGCCCAAGTGGGTTCTTGCCTAATATTTAGAGAAGAATTTTAAATAGTGGCATAAATGAAAGAGGCAGCATGGTATATTTTAAGCTTTTATTTAGTGTGAAAAATGCATAGGAAAGTGAGGGCTTTATCTAAGAGAGAGGTAAATCTGGGTTCATACTGAGTACCAAGAACCAGCCACAGGGAAGAACGTCTAGGCCAGGAAGCCTAGGGCAGGTGGCCCAAAGGCCATGGGCCCTGGAGGTGCAAGGCTGCAGCCAAGCCCCCTACTGGCAAGAGGCCGGGTCGAGGGAAATAGAGGAAAGGCTGGGACACACCCTGTTCCAGGCTTTTAATCCACTTTCAATTAATTAACCCAATTGGCCGGTGGGCACTCAGGTGTGGTCAAGTAGGGGCATGAGGTCACACAGGGGCGTGGCGAAGGCATGGTCTTTCAGCTCACCAGCCTAATCAATTTTAACCTGTATGTCTGTCTACTAAACATGGCCTTTCTGAAGACCCTTTGTAATAGTACAAGAAGGCTGGCGCTGTGGCTTACTTGGCTAATCTTCCGCCTGCAGAGTCGGCACCCCGGGTTCTAGTCCCGGTTGGGGTGCCGGATTCTGTCCTGGCTACCCCTCTTCCAGTCCAGCTCTCTGCTGTGGCCCGGGAAGGCAGTGGAGGATGGCCCAGGTCCTTGGGCCCTGTACCCGCATGGGAGACCAGAAGCACCTGGCTCCTGGCTTCGGATTGGCGCAGCGCGCCGGCTGTAGCAGCCATTTGGGGGGTGAACCAATGGAAGGAAGACCTTTCTCTCTGTCTCTCTCTGTCACTAACTCTGCCCGTTTAAAAAAAAAAAAAAAGTACAAGAAATACATTGAATCCCCTATTGACCTTGTAACTTTTGTCATTTTAATTTTAATTCTGCCAATCCTATTTGTCTTTGTTGATGAATTCTTTAGAATTTTGCCCTGAAACCATCATATTGCTGGCACATAAAGACACCATCATTTCCATTCTTCAGCTGCTTTTTTATTTTTTTTTTTTCTGTTCCTTTAGCTGTAGAAATTCGAGAGAGCACTTTGTGAGTGTAAGCAAGTGTTCTTGTTGTTTTCCACTGCTGTCTGGCTGCCTCTCACAATCGGGGTCTTGTCTTCACTCAGGATGTCCACTGTTGCTATTTCTTTCTCAGGGACCAAGGGTTCTGCCAGGTTGGATGTGTTACGTTCTGAACAGCGAACTATAGAAGACGCTGAAGTCTCGGAGCCAAGTCATGGAGTTTTTACTTTTGACAGCCGGCAAAGCTGGCAGCTGCAGGGGGACATGTGCTCTCCAAACCGAACTCAGGGCTAAGCTTATAATGGCAAAATCCAGGTCTTGTTGGGAGCTCATTACAAAGCCAAACATTCGATACAGAAGCCTGAAGGAGCGAGGTCTTGCTTACCTCTCTGTGTGAGGGGTGGAGGTGGGGAGAGAGCATTGACACATTTTTCCCAGCACTTAACGTACAGATAACCTTCTTACAAGGCTGGTTTTTGAGTAGATGGTAGTTGTGCGACTGGTTAGAAAAATAGAGGACAAACAGAGTGCCTAGAAGTCATCCAGAAACGAAATAGAGTGGCAGGTCAGGCTCCCTCCAAATGCACTGATAGGCGTTGCTGAAGGCGGGACCAACAACAAGGCTTTCCCTAAGCAGAGGGCCAGCAGAGGAAAGACAAGCCTTCCCAGCCAGCCTGCGAGAGAGCACTGCAGATCCTGGTGGGGGTGAGTGGGAGGCCAGGCAGCCCAGACTGTACCTTCCCTTAGGCCGACCTCCCCACGGCTCGCTGAAGTAGCAGTTGACCACTGTGGTTCACTCCCCAGAGCTCACTGAGGGACAGCTCAGCAGGTACAGAAAGTCTGGTCCTGGCTGAGTTAAGGTGAGGAGAAATGAACAAATGCATCATCTTGTTTTTGTGTGTGGTTATGTCAGCTCCGCTATTGGGCAAAGTTGATAATTAGTTCCTCGGAGATTTCTGGTATTGCCTTAAGTTAAATCGAAGAAAATACTTTCATCACGTATTGTCGTATCTAGATATAGAGGAATGACTGTGTAATACAATGAAAATTAAAAAAAACAGAAGAGACCGGAAATATAGAAAGTAAGGTAATAAAAGAGAAAGAACAAAAAGAAAGTTCAAATCTGTTACATACCACATATTTTATGTTTCTCATTCCATTTCATAACATTTTTCAAACTTAGAGCAAATGTAAAGCCTGCTTATTTTTAGTAAGTTTGTAAAATTATGTTTATCAATTTTAATTAAAGAGATGAAAAATCTCAGTTATCCCTGTTCTGCCATTAATGCAATATTGTATTGCAAAGAGTGAACTTCTTTGTGAGGTCTTTCACCTATTATCTATCTATCTATCTATCTATCATCTATCTATCTTTTTTAAAGGTCTTTTTACTTATTTATTTGAAAGTGTTACAGAGAGAGGTAGAGACAGAGAGAGAGAGAGAGGTCTTGCATCTACTGGTCCACTTCCCAAATGTCTGCAACAACCAGAGCTGAGCCGATATGAAGCCAGGAGCCAGGAGCTTCTTTCAGGTCTCCCATGGTGCAGAGAGCTGGATTGGAAGAGGAGCAGCCAGGACTCAAACCGGCGCCCATATGGGATGCTGGCACTGCAGGCCGGGTCCACTGTGCCACAACACCCCTCTATCTTTTCATCTATCTACCCTTCATTTATCTATCACTTATCTATTGATTTATCTACCTATCATATGTCTACATATCAATCATCTACCAATCTATCCATCTATCTAGCATATCATTTGTCATTTACCTGTCAATCATCTGTCATCTACTTATCATCTATCACTATCTACCTATATCTATAGACCTCATCCATCATCCATTATATTTGTATCTTCTACTATTTATCTGATACAACTTTGACCAGAAAGAATAGGTTTTTCTGTCTTATATTTTATTTATTGTTATGTATTTTAATCAATTTAATTGATTTGGATTATATGAAAAACAATACATCTAAATGGGGAGTCAGACTAATAACGAATGTGTGCACTTGTTACTCATAACTTTATTCAAGATATAAAGTATTTCCCTCACTCCAGCAAGTTTCCTGTGGTTTCTGCATACAGTCATCTATAACGCAGGAAAACACAGATTTCTAAATCTATTCAAGAGTTTTGTGTATGAACTATGTATACTGTGTGTAGTTATACATTATGTATACTTTAGTTTCATAAAAATCATATAAATTTAATTTCATATAAGTCAGATCACACTGCAAATATTTGTCTTTGTCTGCTTTCATTTGCTTTGTATATTATGTAGCCACATACCACCATCTCACTGTTCTTTCACTTACTTATGGTTCAAATTTGAGCTGTTATGAATACAACCTTCATTTTGATTAATAAATATAATATTTAAAAGATATTTTATAAATTCTCTCTGTTAGGTTGAAGATGTATTCTTAATTCGATGAAAGACTTCCATCCTTATAATTAATTTTTTCCATGTCTGCTGCATTTGTCCAACATTTTTCTGTATTGGGATGATCATATAATTTTTCTCCTTTTATATGTTAAAGTGACAAATC